TAATGCCGGGGTCAGCCTAGCCCAGTGCCCTCCCAGTAGGGTACCGGGGATTTCTGTAACCTCTTCTCTGCCGCTAGTGAACGCATAGAGAAATTTTTAAGGTTGGGGTAAGAAAGTAGTGATACCCCACTGTAAGGACTAAGGGTAATCCTCTGTAGTGTTCCTGGGCTGCTTGCTGCGTGGAGCCCAGCGCAGGGATGCATAGCAGCTGCTGTAGAACAGCTGCAGAGTGGGAAGGGGCTAAGTCGGTGTCAGTGCCTCCAAGCGCTGCTTTGCGTGGTGCTAGCAGAGCCCCAGGCAGCAGGAGGGGGAGCTGAGCTGGGCTCTCACACACCTGTGTGTGCAGCTTTGCGGGTTAGCTTCTATTGCAATGTCCCATCTTAAAACTGGCTGATCCTTGCAGCCAGCGGGCACTAGAGCCGTGTGGTCGTTGCATGCGTGTCTTCAGAGTGCGGTGCAGCCTTAAACCACTTTCCCTTGCTGGCAAAAGGCCTCTCACTAAGTACCCTCATTTCCATGAATTAACTGTCAGGTGAGCCCATTTAAAAGCAGGGGAGGAGCTGGTGAGATTCGTTTTGAGGGGCTGCCCAGCCTTGGCCCTGTAGGGCCTGCTTGTTCCACCCATCCTCTCCTGTTGGTCCCTGATGCTGCTGCGGAGGCGGTAAGTGGGGCTGCTGGTGTGGTCCTCTGTCATGGTGTGCGGGCACTGGGCTCCACCAAGCGTGATCTGGTTATCCGAGACTGCTGGGACTTCGCATATGGCATCCGTGTGCTGTTGGAAAGAAGGTTTCCTTCAGCTGAGGCTGGTGCTGGGAAGTGGGGTTTGCAGGGATGGCAGAGGGTCTCTTACTCTGTGAGAGTCAAAACAACAGTCATATAGTCACAGAGCACCCAGGTTTGTGTCTCTTAAGAAACTTAGTCCTTTAAAGACCTGTGGTCATGTATCTGCTTCCACCATCTGCAAGGCAAGGTGGATGTACGCTTAGGGCGTGCCTTACAAGTGGTTGCTTGGTCTGTTGTTTAAAATTTCCAGTATAAATAAGTGTAGGACAGCTCTCGGAAGCACTCTTTCTGTATGTCACTTGAGAACTGCTGTAGTGGGTTAATCTGAGGTACAAACTGGTTCCGCCTGTAGTTAGTCCAGATGTTTACAGGAGAACGTAGGGAGGAGAAAATGCTCTTTTCTTTGGTATTCTTCTCAAGGAGCTTCGATAGTCCTGTTCCGCTTGAATGTGTCCCCTTCCTTTTTGAAGCTGCTTTGGGCTCCCACAGCGTCCTACGGCAGTGAGTTCCACACTTTGTGTGTGCTGGTTTACTTCATTGCCTCTGCTTTTATGTGTCAGCAACTGAATGGTCCTTGGGCCTCATGTCGGGAGAGAAGATAGCAACTCTTTTCTCTTCATGCCCTGTTATTACTATTGCTCTTCCTACTAAGTCCTAGCAGCCTGTGTGTATTCTCAAAACTGCTGAGCAAAGCGTTGACTATGCTGAGGGTACTGTTATGAGTCTGTGACTTTTCTTGATGAGTTATAGCTCGTTTAGAACCCATTGTTACATAGACATGGCCGGTTGTTTTAGCCTGAAATTCTGCATTTTGAACTGGATTTTATTCTGCACTCGCTCTGTAGATAAGTATATTATGCTAATAATTGCAACTGCCTTCAGATTTGACCATTCTGATTCGGTATTTAAGCATAAATGTTGAACTTGAGGTACTGAACTGTGTCTTCCTTTTTCCTCAAACTTTTTTCGGTTTTACATATTGATTCCGAATGCTGGTTTCATTCAAATTTTGTACTCTTATCGCCCCCCCCGAACTGAATGTTGTTCAACACTTTGCTGTCATGCATTTAAAAACATTATATATTTTCCATAATAAAACCCACTTAATTAAAAATGTACTGGATTCAAGATAGAATACATGGCCGTTAAGAAAAAAATATTACAAGATTTTTTAAAATATGGGCTTCTTTTACATCACTTAAAATACTTTTGCAAGGTCATTATTGTGTCTAATGCATCGAAACAGGCTGAAGGGGGTTTGGGGAACGGCACCGTCTTATTAAACAAATGCTGGTACTTTGCTTTTTTCAGTGTGTCTGTCTAATATAAATACTAAGAGTGTTAAGGTGCTTTCATAGGGTGGTAATACAAATTATGAGAAAAATAAGTAATCTCCCTTTTTGAGATTCTACAAATTGCA